CCCTCCTCCCTCCCCTCCCCAGTCTCCCTGCCAGCCCTTTTCTGTGCCCCCTGGGGGGCCAGGACTGAGAACCCAAATCATCAGCCTCTCCTCCAGTCTCCAGGGCCTGGCCAAAAGCCAGTCTTCACTGCCCAAGGCCTCTGCGGGTCAGGGCTGTCACAGGCAGGGACACTGGCTGGCTGCTCAGGACTTGGGGACCCTCAAACATCTCACCAGTGGTCACCAGATCCCCATGGAGAAAGCACATCTCATCCTCTCCCTGAAAACCCTCAAATCACAATGAGGATGGTTGAAGGGCAGATCACCCCACCTGAGGGGTCAGAGCTGTCCTCACTGCCCCCCACCAATCAATCCCTTCTCTATTCTCCCCATTTCCCTCACAACCAGTCCCTTCCCACCCTCCGGGCCTTCAGACTTAATTTTCTAGGCCCTTCAATCTTGCCCTCCCCACCCTCATTAAATAAGTTAATGGCATTTAAAGTGCTAAATTAGGAAACTAAAAGTACCAAATGCCCCTCCTGGGGCTGCCCTCTCCCAAGGTAGGGCCCCAGTGGCAGGCCTCCCTCCACCCAGCCTCCACACCAGCAGTCTGAGGGCTTCCTTCCTCCATTAGCACAGGCCAGCCCCTACCCAAGCAGGATGCTATGTGGCCTTGGCTGTCTGGCCTCACATCCTGCCTAAGACTTGGGCCTCCTCTCTGGCTGGTCCTGTCCGTCTTGCCTCCAGGCCCACTGGGGGCGAGAGGAAGGGAGCAGAGTAGCAGCAGTGTTCAGTCTCATGGAGGCTGGACAGGGAGTGGGGCATCTCCAGGGCCAGGACCTCCCTCGTCCCATCTTCCAGCCTGATGCCGGGGTTGGTCCAATGTCCACAGGTTCCTCCAGGAAGGTTCGGAGGAAAGGGAGAGGGACCTCTCGCCGCTCCAAGTCTCCGTGGCTCAGAGTTTGTTTGGAGTGTTCTTGGGAAGTTGGGGGGAAGGTGGGGAAGGAGGCAGGGAGCAGGAACGCAGGATGGACTCGGGAGGACGAGTGGCGAAAGAGAAAAGGGAGAGAAGATGACAGGAAGTCGGCCGGGAGAAGGCCATCTGGGAACAGGAAGTCAAAGGAAGGTGGTGTGTTTGGTTTTTAATTGTACTGTTTTGTTTTGTTTTTTTTTAAAAAAAGATAATTAAAAGTGAATCATTTAAAAAACCAAAAACACCAATTGAGGGATGAGGACGGGGAGCTGAGGAGGGCCACACCCATGACAACCCTTCCCAGGTCTGGAGAACAGGGTGGGGGGATGGAGGAAAGCAGAGTAGGGAGAGATGACGGGAGCGAGGGAGAAGACAGGCTGGGGTGGAGGCGTGAGGGGCTTCTAGAAGGAGATGGAAGAATTCCTTGCCCCAAAGGAAGTCAATACAGGGATGGAGGTTCTGGAAGCCGAGGGCTTTTCTGAGACTGGGCTTGAGGTCTCATTCGACCCGCTCATCTCTTTAGATGGTTTAGTGGCCTGGAACAAAAACAGGGGTCAGGGGTCAGAGAGAGCAAAGGAGAGCCTTCATGCTGGCCCCCAGCTGAAGTTTTGAAAAAAATGGAAAACCTCCACAAATCCAAGAGAAAATGAACTGCAAAAGCAAGAAACCAGAGGGGCATCTGGAGAYGGCAGTCGCCTGAATTGAGTGGCAGGGGGAGGGCTCTGCAGGGGCAGAAAGGTGGGGGAGGGGCAGGGGTTGGAACAAAGGGCCCAGAAACCAGAGTGGGGTCCGTTGTGGTTACTGATAGGAAAGAGAGAAGGCAGGAGAGAGACACCAGAGGAGCACAAGAGAGCCCGGGGTAGGCGAGGGGATAAGGGGGTAGGAGAGGGTTGGGGGAGGGGAGGGAGAAGAAGTGAACCGTTAGCTGCAACAGGGGTGCAAGCCCTCCAGAGTGGGAGGCAGAGGGGGCCAGCAGCCCAGCCCAGCATTYAGGGACCCTCTTGCACCTCAGCAGGTGATAGGTACCAAGCAGAAGGATCCTGGTGGAAACAGGAATCAGCTTGTTCTCTTGGGGAACACCTCCCCAAAGAACCCCTGCCTGGGACTCTGGGAAAGAAGGCACCCAGCACCCAGCCTCCCTCTCAGCACTGGAAGACACCCCGTCCCCCGCAAGTGGAGAGGCCACTCCGTCAAGAAGTGTCCTGCTTTCACTGGCCAGCACTGACGGGCAGAACCAGCTGCTCACCCTCCTCCCACCTCCCAGAGACTCTGCGTCTCTACTGGTCCTGGAGGCTTGACCTCCGAAATTGTGGTCTCCATAGGGTGGTTCAAGAACCATCTGCATCATCTCTAGGACATGTGTCACAAATGCAGATTCCTGGGTCCCCCTCCAGAATGTTTCTGATGTGGGTTTGGGAAWGTGCATTTTAAGCAGGTGCCTGGGTGTTTAATTTTGGAATCCTCTGTGAGGACCACACAGACCAGGCTTTCTCCCCGCAACTTCTGGACTCGCTTAGCTACTAACAGCTTTGATAGTTTAAGAACGTGACTGAAAAGATAAGACTGAAAACAAAGTCCTGTGGCTTATCACTGGAGACCTTCCTGAATTTATATCTGGGCACGGTCGGTCACGGTCGGTCACGGTCGGTCACTCCATTTCCCAAGGACCTATGTTGTCCCCAGCTGTCGGGTAGGCTCTCCCAGGTGCCTTGCAAGTCTCAAGCAAGTCCTGCCTCCTGCAGCCAGCAGGGACACAGGAGGCCTGGTCTTCCTGGCTCCCAGGGAACCACCCTGTGGCTGGTGATCACCATTTGTTCTTCCACGAGCACAGAAATGGCCCTGGCCAGCAATTCATCYGGGCTTTATTACACTGCCGTTTGCAGCCTGCATTTCCTCTTTATGAAAGCTGAGGCTACAGTGTGGGTTTCCTGGCCCTCCTCCTCTTCACTGTGATTGGTCTTCCATTCCTCAAAGGTTCCAGGGCAGCAGCCACAGGGTCGCTGGATTCGTGCATCCTTTGCCCACTGCCATGAGACAAGCTGGCCCACACCAGGCTCCAGAATCTGATCTCAAAGTCACTCATCTAAAGGCGACCAGGAGCTCTCTTACCATCTGTCACTTACCTTGGGCTAAGCCCCCGCCCCTGCTCTAGCCTTCCCCATTAAATTTCTTTCTGCAAAGCAGGGAGGGGAGAGAGCTTCTCCACTCCCTCCCTGGAGTCTCTTCACATCTCGCCATGTSCCCAAGCAAGGTGCTGGTCCCCTCCTGGCTGTTGGCTTTGTTCTAAACTCTGGTCTTTCTAGTTAAAAGCGCTTTCTGTTCCTTCCCTTCAGCATTTTCAAGGGCCTCRGTCTTTGCAAGCTTTGGTCTTTGGCACACTGCCTTCCGGGAGCGTGTTGCCGCCCAGGAGCGTGCCGCCGCCCAGGTGACCTGTCCTCACCCAAGCACTGTGCCCTTCTCCCCACTACCCCACCCCACCCCCGCCACAGCCAGTGCAAGGCCTTTAGACATGTTTTGTTCACTGGTTAACTGGGCTCCTCTTCATGGAGACGATTTGCAGTGGCTCTATAAGCATTTGTTTTGTGACTTCCTTGAAGGCCATCTGGCTTCAGCCCCAACTGAACTGTTGTACTGAAGCGGAGGTAGCAGGTCCGACTGTGCCATCCTGTGTTGCTCAGAGTTCTCCAGTGACACAGCTGCTGTCTCTGAAGGGGTCTATCCTTCCATTTTACCAGCTAGTCCTGCCCTGTGGGTCCTGATTTTGTCCAGAGAAGCAAAACTTGGTCACTTTTGTGGCAAAGCAGAAACCTCATAGGTGTCCGCCTTTCCACTGGGGAGGTTTGGAACTCTCTGGGCAGAGGCCTGCTCCCCTCCCTGGTCTGATTCTAGCACGCTGCCCAGCCCTCAGCTCCAAGCCGGAATCTCCTACAGAAGCAGATCATCCTGAGCCCGGGTCTGTCTTGTCTCTGTCATTCCAGGGCCACACAGGGAGCAGCAAGAGCCAGAGTGGCCCCCTGCTCTTCCCCCCAGGGAGGTCCTATGTCCTGCTCTTGCCAGCCCCTCCTGGGAGCCTCAACATCCTGTCATTCCCTGGACTCTCTAGGGGGACAGTCCAACAAGGTCTCTTGACTTGAGCCACAGGAGAAGAGAGAATAGGTGGTCTTCAGACTTTATAGTCCTAATAGAAGAGGGCATGTTCATGGCTTCAGGTCGGCACCACGTCTTGATCCTTGCACCCCTGGGAATCCAGATCCCATCTCCTCTTGGATCCTGAGCCCAGCACTCATGGGCTCTTTCCCAGTCATTTCCTGGGGCTTCTCTGCAGTAAAGCGCTGTTCCAAYGCACAGCCCTCTTGGAGACCCCCACCCCATTTCCTTGCCTCTGTTCTCGGCACTACTACTCCTTCCAGCTTATCGTCCCAAGGCAGGCGAGCTCCAAGGCTCAGCGTCATCCCTGACAAGTGCACACTCCAACCCGGGGCCGGCCCTGTTGCCTGTTTTCCTCCCCACTGTATAGAAGAGGGTTGGGGTCAAGGCCACAGACTGGGTGGTGGGGACCATGTGTTAACAAGGGTAAGGGGAGTAATGGCCCAGAGGACAGAGCTGTCATGAAGAGCCCTGGCTGGGCCACACTGCAGGGGATTCTGTTTGGGCCAGAAGACACAGGTTTGAACTGGTGTGTGTGAGAGAGATCATTAAATCTGCATTTTACAAAGTCCCTGCAGGTCTTAGAAAATAGGTCAGAGGTGACAAAAGTGTAGGGCGGGCAGAGGAGAAATGTCCATAAAAGAGCCAGGTTCCCGTGAAGCCTGAGGAAGAGGGTGGATGCCAAGGAATGGTCTACCAGCCCCATGGGTGAGCAWGCAGGTCTACAAGGCCACACCCGATGAGAGGTGAGAGAAGAGGGAGGAGAGAGCTTGCTGGTCTCCAGACTTTATCACGCCCTGAGGCAGGAAGGCCTGAGGGGCTGAGGAGCCAGGGAGGGTGGGGAGTAGAGTGTGCAGCTGGCCCAGAGTCCCTGGAACCCAGAGCAACAGGCAGAGGGCTGGGCTCTGGGGAGTCAGGAGCAGGGGACAGCAGGTGTGACGACAGCAGGGGGCTGCTGCTGAAGAGGCTAAAGCACATGTGTGTGGGGGAGGCCTGTCAGATAATGTGGGTTTGCATCCCGCTTCCCAGCCTTGGTCTCTCCACCTGTCCAGTGGGCATAACAAGGCCCTTCATCAGAGCGGCAGGTGTGAAAGGAGACCATGGACGTGACCGACACAAGTGAGTGTGCCATTAACATCAGCTACTCTTCTTGGCACAAAGGAGGGACCATTCTGGACAGATGGGGCACCCATCTTTGGTGGTGGCAGGAGAAAGAGCTGGGAGTGGGCCTTAGAAGGTGTGTCTGGGGACCATGAGGAAGAAGGTAAGGAGAGACTGGGGGAGGGCTAGGTGCCAGGGCTGAATCAGTGCCATGTGTGGGAAGGACTTTGGGAAATCTGGGTCCAGTCCTGGCTCTGGTGCCATTGCTGTGCATCTTCGGGAACTCCCTTTCCTGCTCTGAGCTCTCCCCTCTTCTGTAAAGAAGGTGGCTGGACTCACCCATCTCTAACCTCCTGCTTTTGAGCCTAGAACTTTCTGGAAGTCAGTATCTAGACAGAGCAAGGCCCACCCTGTCATCCAGAATGGGCCTGGCCTACGGGAGCTGCCCAGGAATTAGCGAACTGACTGGGCCTCATGGAGGCTGCAGGGCTGCAGACACCCGAGGGCCAGGCTGCTAACCCTAGCCTGTAACTCCAAGCCTGACGAGAAATCCAGAGGCTGCAGAGGCCCTGCAACTCCTGCCACACCCCATCTAATGGGGYCCAACCTCCTCCCCTTCGCCCCCACTCCCCACCTTATACAGATCAGCAGTGAACCAACAGACCCGGACCCAAGGCTGAATGGGAGGTGCAAGACTGGCTTGTCCCCCAGCTGAGGGTGGCCTGAGAGTTAACAGGAAGGCTGGGATGAGCATCAGGGAGCTGAGCACAGGGAGGAGGAGGCTAAAGATGAGCAGAGAAGGGCAGGAGGTGCAGTGGCCCCCAAGAGGGCTGGGCCTTACCAGGGACAAAGGACAATATGCAGATGGGGAGCAGGTCTTCTCTGTCCCTGAGGGGACTCCTAAAGGGGAGGGGATCCAGATACAGAGCACTGGGACTGAGTGCAGGAGGGAGACATTCCAGGGCCGGGGCAGTGCTGGCAGGGACGACCTCACTGGTCATGGGAATAGCGGCACATAGCRGATGCTCCGTGCCCAAACCCAGGGGCCCTGGAGGGGGCGCCCGCCACCCTGCCCTCACCTGCTGCTGGGCCTGGATCCTCATGTACTCAGCCCTCTGCTTGCCGTGCTTTCCTTTGTCAGGGCTGCTTGCTTGGCCCTGGGTCGCCTTCAGCCGAGAGGCTCCTGGAGTCACCACCTTCATGGGCGGCACGCTGCCACCACCACTCTGCAGGAAGAGAAATAGGGTTGGGGTTGGAGGGTCCTAGTGGAACCCTAAACACTAGGTGGGGTCTCCTCACACAGGCCCCTGAGAACCTGGAGACCTCTCCCTGGCTCTGCATCCCAGGCCAGAACTTGGGCTACTTTCTGAGCCTAGGTCTAAGGCCTCTGTGCTGGAGAGAGACAGAACCCCAGCCTGGATCCCAACAGTTCCTGAATGAGAACTCTGGGTGGTTGGTGGCCCAGTGGCAGCTGCCCCTCTTGGGGAGGTCACTTCTAAAGTGCAAGTCCCCAGCACCACACCCATTCCCAAGCAAAAGGGGCACCACCCCGGGCCTGGAGTTTGGGGTTAGGGTCAGGTTCTCTAGTGACAGAGCGGGACTGACGGTCCCAGCCCACACCTTCCTGCTGAAGTCTCTCCAGAGATGGGCAAGTCTGGCTCCCTAAGCTCCTTAGCTACCAGGCCTACCCAGGAGGTTCCGGGTAGAGAACAGAGAGAGGCACGGACAGAGAAATGACAGAGACAGAGATCTGAGTCCRAGACAGGAGTGGGGGAAGCCTGGAGTGGAAAAGGGGGAGAGAACTTTATTTCTTGGTTTACAGATACAGAGCAGAGAGAGAGGGGCCTCTGGATCTTGCCAAGGCTGGGAGGGCCGAGTCCTGAGTGGGCTGGCTTCCCAGCCTCCCCTGGCTCAGCCTGAGAGCCCCACCCTGGTAGCAAGCTCCCAAGAGGGTGGTGAGCTGAGAAAAGGAGAGCGGGAGGAGGGGCTGGCTCTCGCGGCCCCCACTCCCTGCCCTCCGCAGGCCCAGAGACTAGAGTGTGAAGGCAGCAGGGGTGGGTGGGGGTGGCAGCCACCTGGGGACTGCGGGGCTGGGGTGAGGGGCTGCCAGGGGTTCCCACGGCAAGGGCTGTGCCCATCTCGCTCAGGGTGGCTTCTAGTTCCCGGAGTGTCTCTTCCAGGCTGTCCGTCCGCTGGGGGGCGACACCTGGCACTCTGCCGCCTGGGCCAGCTGCAGCCTGCCCGCCACTGCAGGTTTGAGTGTCACTTCCAGAGTCCTTGGGAGTCTCCTCTGAGTGGGTCTCAGCAGCTGAGGGCTCCTGAGTCTCATTTGGAGTTGGTCCCCAAGGACAGGGGACTCTGGCTCTTCCATCCTCTGAGCTAAGGCTTCCCATGCTTGGGCTCTTCCAAGCTGTCCCTTCCTTCTCGGGCATCCAGCTGCCCTTGGGCCAGGCAGTCTCTGCTCTGAGCCCAGGCAGGGCCTGGGGGCCGTCCCAGGTCCTCCCATTGCCAGCCAGGGTCCTCGGTCTTGGAGTGGGGGCTGTCCCGCGACCTGGTTCCTCCAACCTGGCCTCTGGCGGGGAGGGAGGGTTGGGGGTGCACTCTGTCAAGATGATCCRTGGGATGCAGAAGGCCCTGGGACCTGGGGCAGCCTGGCGGGGAGAAGGAACGTGAGGAAGGATGTGATCCTGGCAAAGCAAACCCCGAGTTCGGATGGGGGTTAGACACAGGTGAGTTTGGCCCCTTCCTCTCACAGATGGGGAAACTGAGGCCAGGGTGGGGGGATGTTCCTGACTGAGAGAGGCAAAGCCCTAYACCCCACCTGATGGTTTGCTACCTTCTGGTAAAGATGCCTGCTTACACAGAGGCACAGGTACACGTTCGTGTCTTACTACCCATGCCAAGCCTGGGAGCCAGCCTCAGAGAGTCTACCCACCATGCAATGGGAAAACAATAACAGAGGGGAGGAAAGAGAGAGAGTTCATGTGGACAGGTGCACCTTAGCACAGAGCCTGGCACGTTGTGAGCGCTCTAGAATACAAACTTAACTGACCCACAGAGACCTTCAGATCTGCTCAGGCAGAGAGCAGATGTCCCTTGGCCTCTGAGGGCGGGGCCATGATCCTCATCTCTAGCCAGATGCTTCTGGTTATTGCCCCCACCCCCACTCCCACTTTGTGAGTGCTCTCCAAGGATTTCCAGGGGGAGGGGCTGGCCGGGTCCTCTGCCACACACACTCTCAGGACAAGCTCCCTCTGGCATCTGCTTCTGTGTGAGTGTCCAGCAGGGATGCAGAGAGGCCCCAGTCACCCTCCAACCTGAGCAAATCCTGGTTTAATTCTGAGCACCAGTCTRTGCCAGATGCTGTCATATGTCCCCATCTTTAATGCTCACTGTAACCTATGAAATGGACTGCCACTCTCAGTCCCCTCTGTACAAATGAGAAACTGTGGGCCAGGAACAGTGTATGATYCCCACTGTCACTGACCCACAGCTGGTTAGTAGCAGAGCCGGGATTTGAACCTAGATGGTCTCACTCCAGTCTAGTGCTCTTTCCACTAAAAAGCCATGGGGAGCCAGACTCGGTGGTCCATGCYTGTAGACCCAGTGGCTCGGGAGGCTGAGGCAGGAAGATGGCAAGTTCAAAGCCAGCCTCTGCAACCTAGCAAGGCCTTAAGCAACTTAGTGAGACTCTGTCTCTAAATAAAGTATAAAAAAGGGTTGGGGATGTGGTTTGGTGGTTAAGTGCTCCTGAGTTCAGTCCTTGGTACCCAAAAGAAAAAGCAGATGTGTGCAGATGTGTGGGGGCAGCAGAGACCTCAACCACCCCCTCCCAAGGCAACCATCCAGCCCTGCCACCTGCTTACCTGGGAGTGGGGTGCAGCCTTGGAAGGCAAACAGGTGACCCATGCTCGCCCAGCTCCATTGCCCGACGGCACCTCAGGACGCAGAGGGTCAGCCAGGCCTAGGCGGCCAGGGAAGTGGCCCTGCCCGCTGGACCCCTCAAAACAGGTCTCCAAAGCCAGAAAGGAACAGGAGCTGGTGCCAGGGGCACAGCCAGCCCCAGAGGCACCCCTTCCATGCTGCTCATCCCCTGATGGCCCCTCAGACTGATCCAAGCCATCCCCTGCCCAGCAGACAGCCTGTCTGCTCCCACTGCCAGACCACAGTGCCATTAGACCTCAGCCAACCCAGAAGTTGGGGGCAGCCATCTCGGAGCCCACTACAATCCAGGAAGAACCAAGAATGGGAGGTGAGAGTGTGTGCACAGGAGGGCTGGCCCTCCCCAGAACAAGGCCCACTGGCCCCAGTGTGGCCGGGCAGAGGGATCCCCAGACCCTCTCCCACCCGCCTCCCCAGGCAGACCAAGGAATGCAGATAGCAGATCCACCTCAAAGTCCCAAGAAAGAATAAAGGGGAAATCAGTGCAGCAGCACAGCAGCAAGGACTGAAATTAGAGAGAAGGAAGAACTTCCCAGCRCTGAAAGACAGAACCAGCAGCCAAGGAAAGGCATAGGTTTCTTACATTCTAAGCTCCTTGACCAGGGGGCGAGATAGGACCTGAGTCAGGGGAGGCTGTGGGTGAGCCAACCCCCGGGAGTGTCTTGGTCCCAGTGCAAGGCATAGATTCTAGTGGGAAAAGCATCTTCTCCCSGGCACAAGCGGCAGAGCAGGGCATGGGGGAGGCATCTAAGCARAGGCTCAGGACACTCAGATTTTGAGCTGGACCCTTAAGTCATCTTGTGAGAAGATCCAAACTCCAATCTCAGCCTAAGGCAACACCTGGGCTTCGGGCCACACCAAAAGTCAGGCCGCGAACTGGACCAAAATGCCCGGGCTGCCAGCGCCAGCCTCGGGACGCAGCCTGTGAGGGAACGCAGATTCGGGGGCCACCAGATACCCAGGCTGCTGGGGTCTCCAGGGAAATCCCACCCAGGAGGCCAGAGGAAAGGCTGAGTTTTGTGCGGTCCTTGTGAGGGCGGGGCAGGTGAGGTGTGAGAAGCTGGGCAGTGGCAGGGACGTGCGCGTTTTAGCAGGTTAGCGTGAGAGGTGGGGGGCTGTGGAGGCACAGGCAGAGAGAGCTGTGAGAGGTGGGGCAGCCCGTTACCTTCCATGTGGGGCCCAGGGCTGTGCCCCCGGGGGGCCCCAGGTCCTGGGGGGACACCAAGGTGGGGATCGGCTGGCGACGGGGCGTGGGGGGTAGGGAAGACACTGAGCTTCTCTCAAACACCTGAGGAGCAGAAGGTGGGGGCAGGTTTGGAGGAGGGGGCATCAGGAAGGATGGGGGTGCTGCTGGCCAGTGATGCAGGCGCCCATGGGGAGGATGGCCTGGGGTGGCATGAGTCCCCAGMCAGCCTCATCCCTTGGCCCCTCACCGTGGCCCCTGGCCGGCTCTGCCCTCCGTTGTGTCTCCTCTTCCAGGGACCCCTGGTGGTCCAGGGTTCCAGGCACTGGGGTGGGAGGGATGGGGTGAAGGGCTGAGGACCCTTGAGTATGGGTGGCTTCCAGCACCAGGAGAGCCTCAGGGCATATGGTCCTTGGGACGCTTGGGATGGGGGTCTCAGCACTGAGGGAACTCAGAATATGCCAGCACAGGGCCTTCAGAGTATGGTGGGTTTGGGAAGTAATTGAGTGGGTCTCAGAAACCACCATAAAWACTCAAACCTGCAGGAAGGGGCTTTAATAGACTCCCCATTTTACAGTGGTGAAGAAGTGGGAGGCAAGAAGGATGGGGTCCAGGGGCTCGCCCTGGTCCTGACACCTCACCCTAGGGACTGGCAGGGGACCAGGACTGGAAGAGGCCTCAGAGGCCACATATGCCCCTGACCCACCTCCAGCTCAGCGATGATGCGGTCCTCATCGTCCTCATCCTTGATGGCAGAGGCCATGATGGGTGGCGTGGAGGCAGGGCGGGYCACCTCAGACACAGCCCGCCGCAGCTTCACTTGGGGCTTCTGCACCTCCAGCTCCTCAGACTCAGCCTTCTGAAAGGCCCAGGGCCCCATCAAGACCAGAGTCTGTCCCCTCCAGCACCAACTCACCTCCCAGGTCCCACTAGTTCTAGATCACCTCCCACCTCTCCCGGCTCCGAATCTGTAACTTCCTTTGTCCCCTTCCAGGAAGCCCCACCACAGGCAGAGGCCTGGGTGGAATTAGRGCAAATACTCATAACCAGGATCCCACTACAAGTCCAGAGTCCCACTGTCCAGTGGTCTTCCCACCCACTGCCTCTGAGAAAGGGCTCCCTCCCACTCCAGAGGGTGCCCAGAGGTCGTCTCAGGCTTCCCCCTAATTCAATCTCTGGGCTTCTGCCCAAGGGGAAGTGGTACCTTGATGAAGGCTGAGTCTTTCTTGCTGGTGACCACCACCTCTCCAGTGCGTGTGGTGGTCAGGCCATGGGAGGAAGGGAAGCTCCGGCGGGGAGGGGGTGGCGGGGGTGACTTGGAGGGCTTCTCCGTACGGTATCGGGGCACTGTCAGCTCATCTGCAGGCAGCCAATGGGCTGGGGTCAGGGCTGCGGCCCTGTGGTCAGCACACTGCATCTGACCACAAGTGTAGGATAAACCTTGCTTCCTTCTCCAGGAGGAGGGAGGAAAACTAGGGGGCGGGGAGGAAGGACACAGGGCCCCTCCTCTGTTTACTCCCCCATGCCATCCAGCCCCAAGCCCTGTCATTCTTCCAATAACAGCACTCTGACCCCTTGCTACTTAAAGTATGTCCTGGGCCAGCAGCATTGGCAGCACCTGGGAGCTTGTTGGAACCACAGTTCAGGACCCGGCCCTGAGCTGCTTAACCAGAATCCTGGGTTAAGCAAGATTGACAGTCACATCCAAGTTTAAGAAGTATTACTCTAGCCAGGCACAGTGGCACGCGCCCATAATCCCAGCACCTTGGGAGGCTGAGGCAGGAAGATCTCAAGTTCAAGGTCAGCCTCAGCAATTTAGCAAGACCTGTCTCAAGATAAAAAATTAAAAGCACTGGGAATGTAGCTGATTGGTAAGGCGCCCTGGTTCAATCCCCAGTACCAAAGAAGCAGCACCACTCTAGTCTCCTTCCCCCCAGCCCTTGCCACAGGTTCTGAGCACAAGCCCCCCAACCCCCAGCCTGGCCCCACTCACCAGTTTTCTCCCTTCCCCCCAGTTCTTCCTCCAGCCTGTTACCAGGACAACATGCTGAAAGGTCACTCCTGCCTCTGATCTTCAGAGGCTCCCATTACCCCAAACTACTCCAAGCTCCTTAGTCCAGCACCCTCTGCACCTGCCAATCTTTCATTCTCTGCTCTGCTTGTTACTCCTGGTGTGGGCCCTGGGTGGACCCTGGGTGAATCCCGTCAGGCAACAGCAACAGCAAGAGCGCATCTGCTGGCACGGGTACATGCTGCTCCCCTCTCCCTGGCATGGCCTCTCACTGGCCAGGAAGTGACTAATCATTTTCAGACAGTAAAAACTCCCCTCCTCTGGGAAGCTGCCCTGGCCGCCCAGGGCCTCCTCTAGGTCTGCACGGCTCCCTCCAATGGCTGCACTTAGCCCCTTAAGGTTTACATGCTGGGTAAGGCCTAGGGCCAATTACTTAACCATTTTGAGTTTTAGGGTCCTCRTCAGTAAAGTGGGAATAGTTACTACATCTGCCCCCTGGGACTGTTGTGAAATTATAAAAATGTCAAACACAGAAAGCAGCTGGAACAGTTCTTACTACATAGTAACTGCCTGATAAACACGAATGTTAGTATTATTCCCCTGATAAACTCTGAACTTCTAGAAATTAAGCACCCACTTATTTCCATCTCCCCAGCACCCAGCACACAGGAGGTGCTTAATAATATGCRCTGCAACGGGGCTGTGGATGTGGCTCAGCAGTACAGCGCTCGCCTAGCACATGTGAGGCCCTAGGTTCAATCCTCAGCACCACATAAAAATAAATAAATAAATAAAATAAAGGTACTGTGTCCAACTACAACTAAAAACAATTTTAAAAATAATAATAATATGCATTGCAGGAATGAAAGAATGAAGGAAAGATGACTGACTGCCATTTCCCCTTCAAATTTCTGCCTCTCCCCCATTTCTCAGACTCGGGGAGCACAGGATCCCTGTGGGTATCTACCTCTGCACCCTACTCTCAGCCCGCCTGGCTCACAGCGGGTGCTCAGTTCAGCCAAGAGGGGCAGGAGGATCATTCTGCGTGCATGCAGGGTCCTCCCTGCCTCTCAGCAGCCCTCGCAGCAGTGGGAAGGGCCAGAATGGAGTCCAGCTTACCCTGCCCTCTGGGTCTCCCTCTCCCTTCAGTGGTCTGAGGCCTGGCCACTGATGGCCAGCGCCCCCTTCTCTGGCAGCCCAAGCACCACAGTGCTCACTCCCCAGTACTACCTCTGTCAACCGAGAGCCCTGAGAATTGGGCTCCTCACCAGCCCCTCCACCTCCATACCTGAGCCCCTCCTCCCGCTGGGCTCTGTTCGGGGGGCTGCCTTCTGGCCATGGGGTGCCTTGGGGGGCTTGTGGTCCGGGGTGGGGGCTGGGCCCGGGTGGGCTTTGCTGGCACAGTCCAGGTCCGGGATGGCCTTGAGTAGCTCTGCCTGCGTCTCCTCCAGCAGCCGATTGATATCCTTGGCGCTATACTGGGTCAGAGCTGCCCGCTTCTCTTCCCAGTCCCGCTCTGCAGCCTTGGGGTGGAGGGTCAGCGTCAGTCCAGTGCTAGACCCTCCAGGAGCGGTTGCCCTGACCCAGGACCTCCAGGGCTCAGTCCCTTCTCTATCCACACATGCAAGGGATAGAAAGGAAGCCTCCCATTGATCCAGCCCCCAGGGGATCTCACCCTTCTCCTTGGGAATTACATGCCATCCGTGTGGGTCACGAAGGTGGCTTCATTATATTACATCCTGTTACTACCTTGTCATATGATATCATGTTTCTGGACATTCTATTCTATTCCATTGACCACACAGCCTATTCTTAGGCCAATACCATATTGCTTTGATGATTATAGTTTTATAATATACTTTCTGTCTAGAAGGATGAATGTTACCCTCATTATGCTTCTCAGATTTCCATTAGAGGACTTACTCTCCTCCCCCGAGACAAAGGACCCACTTGCTTAGAGCTTCCTACTCCAGGATGGTGCAAGCACTCGCAGATGCAGCTTGTGCCCCTCGCCCGCCCAGGCCTCCGCACCTCAACAGACACAGCCTTGTCCACACTTCTTTTGCCAGAAGTATCCAGGCCTTTGGTGGGGTTGCTGCCCTTGGGGGTGAGAGGGGCTCCCTCGGTCGGTCCGCTCAGCTCATGGAGGTTCAGTGGAGGACTGGGGGGTGGCATCTCAAAGTCCAGCCCCTTGTTRAAGTCAGTCTCAGCTGTCACCTTCTTGGGGGACTGACTGAGGAGGTTGTTGGGGGGTGGCCACACACCCTCATCCACTTGCCTGGGTTAGGAGAGTTAGGAGCAGCTGTGAGGCAGGGTGGGGGCGGGGGTGGCCCCAGGGAATGTGCCTAAGGGAGGTGGGGCACAAGGAGGGCTCTGAGATTTTCAGGAGAGATGGGAGGATCTGGGGAGGAGTGAGTGCACACAGCATCAGGGAAAACTGAGGCTGCAGCTCGGGAGGGGTCACAGGTCAGAGGCGAAGTGCAGATGCAGTCAGCACTCTGGGGGAGTCGGGATAGGGCTGGGCATTCCTATGGATCTAGGCCCAGTGTGTGACCCTGTGGGCAATCAGGCCAGGGAGAGACTGACCTGCGGATCTGCGCCAGGGTGTCTGTGACCCCACGGCAGCGCTTGAGGAGCCCATCCAGGCGCTGCGGCTCCTCCTTCAGGAACTTCACTGCCTCCACCTCCACGCGCAGCACCACCCGCATCTTGCTCTGCAGGCCAGGGAAGTGAGCTGAGGGGACAGGAAGGAGTGAGCTGGGAGGGAGAGAGCACTGAGGACCGGGAGGACAGCCATAGTGGTGGGAGCACGGGCCACACCGCCTGGCACAGACTCACCCTTGAGCTCCGTCAGTGTCTCCCCAAGCTGCTTCAGCACCAGCGCCTTCTCCTCCAGCTCAGGGCCGGGTACCAGCCGGTGATTGTGGGACACATCCCTCTGGATCTTCTCCACCGACTTCTCCAAGTCACTGCAGCCACAGAGATACCCTCTTAGCCCCTCTGGCCCCAGCCAAGCCCCCTGAAATTGAGCAGCTGGAAAGAAATCAGGCCACTATTAAGATCAAAATTGGAAGTTATTCACCAGGCCACATGCCCAAGTAAAACCAGAAATGCCAAATCTCAGAAATGGGGACACTTCCAAAGAGCTCGCACAAAGCCAACCTAGGCCCACCTTGCAAGCTCTGATCTTTAGCAACATCAGCCCAAATCTCCCTTGCTGTAACTTGCAGCCTCTGATTTTTATTCTGCCAAAGAAGCAGTAGAGAATCTGGCCGACTTTCAGAGAACTGGAGGCAGCAGCATGTACCCCTGAGGAGTCACCTGTCTGAGGAGACACCACCGTGCCCATCTACCTTTAGTTAACTGATCAAGCCACTCAGCCTCTTTCCTTGAGGCCAAAACTGCTTTAAGTTTTCAGCTGTTTTATATTGAGCTCATGTCATCCAAGGCCCCACACTTTTCTAAGATGAAACTCAGAACAAGTCACCACCCCTTGCCTCAAGATCCCTAAATGGATCTTGAGACTCAAATCCAAATTTCCCAAAGCAGACAAGTGGTGGTTGGAAACTTGACTCTAGAGTCAGCAAGACTGAGATCCAATCCCAGCTCAGCCTTCCCAGCTCTTGAGCAAGTTACYTAATATATCTGGGCCTTGATCTTCTCATGCAAGAAATGGGGGTATCCAGCAAGAGTTCCTCCCACGAGGACCATGACAAGGATGAACTAAGCTAATGTGAATGGGCTGGTCCCTGGGATCTGCTCTCCCTCCAGCCGCATTCCCCACCCCATCCAGCTTACTTCTGTTTAGGCCGTTTGAAACTTCTCTGAGGTCCTTGTATGTGCAGCCCTTTCTAATCCTTTAAAATGCCATGGTCTCTGCCTAGAACATTCTATTCACTTATACACACACACACACACACACACACACACGTTAATTTCCCCTTGTCTTTAGGACTCAGTGAAAAACTCTCCCAGGCCCTCCACTTGAGGTCAGGATTTCGCTTCCTGCCCCACAAACCCTTGAAGCTCCTGTTTGCTGGGTTGTACAACCTTCTGGACCACTAACCCCAGGCAGACTATGTCTTCCAGGTTTACCTCCAATTCCCAGCACCTGGCACAGTGCCTGGTATGGAGTAGGTGTCTGGTAAATAACTGTAGAATGAATAAACAAGTGAAAGAAAGAATTGCTACAAGTAGGTCATCTCAATTCTGTACTTGAGTCACTGACATCCCACATGTAAAGCCACATGTGGGACTTTACATACATTCCTGTCAAATCCCATCTGTTGGATTTTAGCTCAATAATCCAGGTGCAAACAACTTTTGAATCCCAGTTCCATCATCCCAGATTTGCTCACCCTTAAAGCTGTGTCATCCGAAGTCTTATCAGCATGACTAGCAGATAGATRAAAAGATGGACCAGGCTGGAGCCAAGGGCAAAATCCTATGGCTCAGCACTGCTGGTTAAGGAGCGATCTTGTGTTAAAAGCTTACTGCATGCCAGGGGTCACACCTAGCCTTCAGTAGATACTCATCTTACTTCAGCCATTGGTTCTGTTGTCACGGTGGGCTTAAGTCACATTGTCCTGACTGGAGGGAGAGCAGATCCCAAGGACCAGATCCTAGGCCTGACTCTGCTACATGGGAAAGCAAAACTTTCCCCTATATGTGTGTGACACCTGACTGGTTTAGGCTGGGCCAGTTTTATAAAATAGTCACTTCCAAACATCAATCAGAGAAGACACCCTCATTTAAAGCAGGACTCAGGGAAGCCTTCAGGGAGGAAAGGACACCACAATTCTCAGGCAGAGGGGGAACAAGACCCCCTAGGCTCAGTCTTGTCATTAGATTCTCCAAAGTTTTGAAGCCCCTAACTTGGTCAGGTTCTGCAAATGAGTTCCAGATCAGTTTGTCTAGACAGTGGATTAAAAAGTGGCTGAAAACCTGGCATGATGGTACACACCTCTAATCTCAGTAGCCTGGGAGGCCGAAGCAGGAGGATCATGAGATCAAAGCCAGCCTCAGAAACTTAGCGAGACCCTCTCTCATAATAAAAAATAAAAAGAGCTGGGATGTGGCTCAGTAGTTAAGGGCCCCTGGGTTCAATCCCTGGAATAATAATAATAATAATAATAATAATGGCTGAGGGCTGGGGTGCAGCTCAGTGGTAGAGTGCTTGTCTAGCATATTCAAGGACCTGGGTTCCATCCCCAGTACCTCAAGAAGGAAAAAAAAAGTGACTGGGTGTTTAGTCCTAGAAGGGTCCAGAGGGGAAGGCCAGTACAGAACCAGAGAAATAATTTGCAGGGCCCACTGCAAAATGAGAGTTTAGTTCCTAGTTCAAAACTTAAGACTTTCAGGAGGGTGATGGCAGAGCATTACACTCAGCATGGGGCCTGTGTGAGCGAGGGCCCTGCATAACTGTTCATCTCCAAAGGTGGGTTAGGCAGAGGCTGAGTCCAGGAGTCAACAGGTCTCAGTCAGCAGGGCAGAGTCCCGGCAGAGCTTGGCTAGACAGACACATGAGTGAGCCAAGTTGATGAAACAGAACCAGCCTAACTGTTAGCAAGATGCCAGGAAAGAGGAAGGGTCACAGCAAAATGAGGCAAGACAAGCGCATGTGCAGCAGAGTAGGKGGTGGGGAAGGGCTGCAGGGCTAAAGCCTCGGGAGGCTATGGAAGGTGTGCAGGGAGGGCCTTCAAGGCTGGGCCAGAGCCACAACAGGGCTGGCACACAGTTTGCCCCTGTCCCACTCAAAATAGGCAGGAGGCCCATTCCAGAAGGATGGAGAATCCTGACAGAAGCAGTTTTTTCAGGTCATTTGAGAGCAGTCTGAGCAATGGGTCCCACAGAGGGCAGGGGTGAGGGGCCTGTATGTTCCTGGAGAACAGAGGCCCCCAGGAAGACAAGGACCAGACACTCATTAATGACCAGAGAATAAATCCATCCTTTCATCTCTTCCACCTCTGTGCTTTTATATTTCCTTTAATGTCTCAGTAAAGTTCTTTTGAAAATTCCAACCCAGCTCTGCTGTGCCAAATGGAAAGGAACAAGGAAAGGACAGGAAAGTCCAGTAAAGAGATTTCCCTAGGAGAGGGGGATGGCAGCTGCTCGTCTAATGGAAATCTGGCTGGAGCTTTCACTAAGCCATCGCACCTGAGTGACAGGCAATGGCTGCTGGCTTATTTCCACATGGGGTGACCCCTTACTTCATATTGGTCATATGATGTTATATGAATCTTTGCCTCCTGCCTCTTTAAGGCATGTGTCACCAGGCTGCGTGGACCCCAGGTTGATAGAGCAGGAGCCTTTGCAAAGGCTCCATATATGACTTAGGGAGGAAGTTGAGCTTCTGTGAGCAGCTCTCCTGGCTCCTGGGCACTCCTGAGTACAACCCAACCCCTATCCAGATAATGCAAAAATCTTAATACTGGCACAGATGAGGGCACTGAGGCAAGAACTGCCCTGAACACATAGCCCCTCGATGCTGGAGCCAGACCCCAAATCCCCTAATGCCCTGTGTCACCAAGAGGGAGGGACATAGGGAAGAAGCAGAAGTCTTTGCCTCAGACTCAGTAATTGATAAGGGAAAGCTGCAGTGGGGTGGGGTTGCTCCCTCTGAATGGGCAGCAAAAGGTGCCCATTTCAAAGGTGCCAGACAATGGAATTGTGGCCAGACAGCCATTTGCTAAATTTGGATGGAGACTGTCTTCTGTTAACCCTTCAGTGTCCAATCATTTGGGGTGGGATGTTCCCTATTCTTTCTTCCTTCCASAACACTCCAGCTCAGTTCCAGTTATACCAAGCAAGGAGGGTTTTCCTTGGCTATACCTGGTCTCAGAGATCAGTGGACAGGAGTGGTGACAATGGTGGCTAGTCATCACCAAGCTGGAGTGGGGGTGGCCCCTGAACACTCCACCTGCATGCTCTGCCCTAGGGTCAATTTACATGGGTCACGGGCCAGAACAAAAGCAGGCAGAGGTCAGAGAGAAATCAGGCCCCAGCCACATGTGAGTGAAGTTGCCAAACTAAATGATGAGGAAGCAAGACCACAGCAAAAGCAGGCACCAAGCCAGAAAAAAKAAATCGGGAATTATGCCAGATGGTCAAAGGTTTGTGGGTCATAGAGAAATCAGGCCACAGAGGAGGATGAAATCAGGCCCCAGAACAAACCAACGTCACCTGTGATTCCGAAGGAAGGGAGCTGTGCCTCCCAGGGAAAACAGGCTGCCTTGGCCTCGGCCGCGCCCCCCACCCTCCCWCCGCGGCCGGGCCCAGCCTCACTTGAGCTGCTGGGTGATGAGCTCCTCGTCGTTGAGGTAGCGCAGCCTCTCCTCCTCCACCAGGGTGCGCTGCCGCTGCAGCGGGTCCTCCTGCCGCCGCGCCGCCTCGGACACGCGCATGCTCAGCTCCGCCTCTGTGCGCTTCAGCAGCGCGCGCACCGACTCCTGGTTCTGGAGCTGCGGGATGCAAGGATGGGCGCGTGGACCTGGGTGGGAGGGATAGGAGGCGCGCGGGGCGAGGGAGTGCAGAGGGCAGCCCTATGCGGCTCCAGCTCCACAGAAGATGCGGCTGCTTAGCTGTGGCCACGAGCCGCCACGGACGGTGCGGGTAGGGGCCGAGGGCTAAATTTGGGGGAAAACGGAGGCAGGAGAATGGGCAGTGGACAGTGGAGGGAGCCGTGCTGTACTGGGCGGTGCTATGCTGGGCAGTGCAGAAGGTGCTGTGGCCATGAGCAGCAGCAAAGGGTTGAGGCGGTGAGTGGCGCAGGGGAAGRTTAAGTTCTGGGAAAGTGTAGGGGCAGAAGAACAGGATGAGAAAATGTGGCGCGGGGCGGGGGTCCTACGCTGGGCCCTGCCTAGAGTGCAGCTGCGTGGCTGTGGCCTTGAGCAGCCCTGAATGGGGACGGGCCTGGCATGAAGGACTCAAGCGCTGGGGTTGATAGTTTCCGTGACTGGGACGGGAGGACCAAGTTAATGCTAAGTTARCGGTCGAACCCAGTTCCAAGCCTGACTGGAGGGGTGTGGGCGAGACCTTACCCTTGGCCCAGATGGCAACTCTCTGCCCCCTCCCCAGCCTGTCTCTGCGCATTATTCTCGCCTGACGGGTCCTGGGGCCCTCTCGAGTAGCCGGCACAGGGATGCCAGGCTCCTGACTGGTGGGACCATCTGCCAGGAAGGACGGAGCAGACTGTCCGGGCTCAGGAAGGGAGAGCTGAGGGGACGTGGGGAAGAGGTATGCAGGGCCAGAAGGAACTGGAGTTGCCCCCCACCCGCAATGATATCTATGGTGAGGGTTGGCCTGGGGCTCTAGAAGAGCCATGGGAAAGAAGGAGGGCTAGTGGGGGAGGCATGGGCCAGGGGTGGAGGTTCAATGAGTAGCAGGAGCTCAAGAAAAGGGGAGAAAGGGTTCAGGTGGTAGGGACCTATGAGCAGCAAGGGATTCCCCAGAGCTCCATGGGGAAGGGYGGGGCACTGGGGGATGGACAGTACTTGTGGAAGGAGTTTGGGCTAGTTGGTGGCGCTTGAGGGGAGCATTACCTGGAGCTTTCGCAGCTGCTGAAGTTGGCCACGCAGGTCACTGGTGCTGTTTTGCAGGCCACGCAAGTGCAGCTGCATCTGCAGCCGGCTGATAGCTGTGGGCTGCCCTGCAGGGGTGCTGCTGGCTGAGGGAGGGGGAGGGCCAGACACAGGGGTTGCCCCACTGCTTCTGCTGCCTGACCCGCATGCTACAGGGAGGGACCATGAGGATGGGAGAAAGGGAATAAAAAGTGAGACTGAGAGGCGCTGGTGCAAGATCCTCCCCACTTTTGACCCCACACAGTAGCCAGAGACACATGACTTTGCTTCCTGCTCTAAGTGATAATCAGTTCTAACAACGAGGAACAAAGCACCAGTGCAGTGACATCTTGGGTTAAGGTGAACACTCATGTATCCATCGAAAGTCCAGTGATGTAGCTATTGTTTGATCCCTAGTTTACAGATTAGGAAACTGACTCAGAGAGGGAAAGGCCCTGTGAGAAAAGAAGGGAAGGGTCACTCACGTGCTGATGGGGTGGCTGCTCCATTGGAGCCTTCAATCTTCTCACTGTAGCACAGGGAAAAGAAGATGGTCATCAGAGGTCCAGGCCAGCCCCAGACCATCAAAGCTGAGTGGGACCTTAGATGTCATCTCTTTCAGCTCCCTGATCATGGAATGGAACAGCAGAAAAGGGAAGGGACTTGCCCAGTGAGACATTGGCAAAGTCAATCTCAGGACTTCTAATGCTCATTGCCCCTTCTTCCTGCCCCTGGCAGTGGTGTTGGGAGAGGGACCGTACCTGGGTGTCTCAGGCTCTGAGCCTCGAAGTAGGGCGCTCTGCACCAGGCCTGTGAGGCTGGCAATCTGCTTCTCCATGGCCTCCATTCGCTCCCTGGGGAGGAAGGTGGTTCTGAGCAATCCCTGCTCTAAGCATGACTCCTGCCCAGCCTCTCATTTCTAAGATTGATCACCAGAGAAATAACATTCTTTCCCCAGCTGCAGTTCAGGCACACAAAGAGACCAAATGCCTAAAGAACAAGCCCACCCCCTACTGCATTTCTCACCTCCCTAAGCGATCTGTCCTGACCACTCCATGCTTTGCTTATGCCCCTCTATGCTTTTCTCCCCACCTCCTCTCTGAGGCCATCCCAAAGTTCCAGTGGCCTTAAGAAACCTCTTCCCCAGACCACTCAAGGGCAATGCAAGGATGTTTTAGTGTGTCTCCTCACTAGACCAAGCAAGAACTGGGTTTGCCCAACTTGGCATCAGGAAATGGTACAGTGCCTGTCACAAAGGCCACAAGGTTGCTGTGTGAAGACAGGTGGCTTCTCACCAGTCAGCAGTGCTGCTTGAGGGCAGAGGTTACCTCTCACCCTGGCTACCTCCTTCAGCCCTGCACCCTTAAGAGGGCACTGAGTGGTGGTTCAGGACGCCCAGGCCTGAAGACTAGGTAAAAAAAAAAATGTGTTTCTCTCCCCTCCCTATTTCTTACCAGCAACCCACTCCCCAGTGAAATTCAGCTGACCCTATGCTGGACAGCTCTCATGGTTACAAATTCTGTGTTCCAGCTGGAAATTGACTTAAAAAAAAAAAAAAGGCTGGCTCAGCCCTTGAATTTTACAATTGTGGAAACTGAGGCTCAAGGAACACRTGCAAACTCACATTTCTAGAGTCCATATTTGGGGCCCTCTCACCCACTGTTTCAAGATTTGCACACAAAAGAGATAGCATGCCCATCTCTTCAGTGCCCTCCCTGCCATATCCAAAATGCTCTCTGGCCACCCACTTAAGATCACTGTAGATCTCAAAGGACTCTGGGATCTCTTGAGTTCAGCAAACACACCTGACAGGGCCTCTGCGGGGTGCCTCGTCTTCCCATCCCACCCCACTCCCATAGTCCTGAGGCCTTGCAAGTGTCTCTCACCTGGTCTCCGTGTCCTTGGCTGGTACTGGTGGCCCGAATCCGACGAGCGAGCGCTCCCCAGGCCCAGGGAAGAGCTCGGAAGGAGGGGCTCCGGCTGTCGAGGAGCCCGCGGTGCTGCGGGTCTTGCCTCCGGGACTCTCAGCGAAGACCGAGGAAGAGCCCGAATCTTTTCGGAAAGACTGACGCACCGGCGAGCCCCGGCTAGGTGGCCCTGAGTAGGGGCTGTGAGGCGGCGGGGGCCCTCCGGGGGGCGCTGCCACGTCGGCCAGTTTCTGTGGTGAGGAGGGCGGCAAGCGGAAACCATAGCTGTCGCCGTAGATCGGGCCGCCACCGCCGGCCGCCTTGTACAGCGAATCCTCCAGGTCCGACTGCAGCGCAGCGGCCGAATAGGTGCTCAAAGAGCGCACCGAGCCGCGTTTGTACAAGCCGCCTGCGCCGGGGTAGGCGAACGGGTCGCCGGCGGCCGCGGCCAAGCTCAGGCGGCCCTCGTGCAGCAGCCCATAGGGATCGGCGTAGAGACCCTCGCCCTTCACCAGCACCATGCCACCCGCTTTCCCCGCCAGGTCCTCGTCCGGTTTGACGTCGCGACGCTCCAGGATGGCGCTTGGACTGGGGCTAACGCCCTGGGTGGCAGGGGCACCTCCCAGTCTCTCTGCCGCGTGGTGCACGGGGCTGCCAGCGTAGGAGGGCGGGCGCCCCCCAGCGTAGGAGAGACGCGAGCGCGATGGCGAACCCGACGGCAGCCCCGACGGCAGCCCAGATGGTAGCCCGGGAGGCGGCGAACCAGATGCCAGGTGCGGTGCCGGCGACAGGTTATTGAGTCGCCGAGTGGGTGATGACTCCCGCGAAGCATACACCATCTCTCTCTGCGCAGAAGACAGCTCCGTAACCCCACAGGGCTAGTCACAAAGGGAACCCTTTTGCCCTTGCTTGAGAAGCCAGCATCAAGTCCCCTGACGCCCAGCAAGTCCCTGTTCTCTGCCTTTCCTCTCTCCTGCAGTGTATTTTGGGCCCCTTACCCATCAGGGCTCCCAGCACAGGTGTGTGAGGGTGTGTGGCAAAGTTGTAGATGGAGAAGCAACAGAGGGGCACCCCTCAGCCCGCCCCATTGTGGGGGTGGGGAAGTCAAGGAGAATAAGTGGCTCAGAAGAGAGGCCTTAGAATACCTAGAGGTCTGTGAGAGAAGTCCTGAGTGCACAGGACTGGAGCAAGGGTGGAGTGGTGAGAGGAGGGGGCTCCTCCATTAATTCCATAATTAAGGGGTCAGCCCCCTTAATTCTCCTAGTCTTTCCTGGTTCCCTTGACATTTGCCCACATTTTACCTGCCTGGGCCACTTTCTGTCAGCCTCCCCAATTCCGTGAGCATCCCCATTCATACCCCAAGGTCCCCCCCTGGGTATCCCCATTCATACCCGAAGGTCCCCGTTCGTGAGGTGTGAGCCAGGGAAAGCAGCATACAGTGGTTCCTTCCTATAGATCTTGATAATACTGCGGTCCTGGATATCCCTGGGGGAAGGGTGCAGAGGGTCACTATGCATCTCCCAGGCATGCAGTAAGGAGAGGCAGCTACTGCCCACAGAAAAAAGAGGYGGCAAGGGGAACAGGACCCCAACCCCTTCCTAAGTCCTTTGCTCAGTGGATCTTGGTGTCTTGGGCTGTCTGCCACCAACACACACCACAGMCTCCACCCGGACCACTTCCTCAGCCTGTGAAGCCATTTCCAGGTTAAGTCAGGGCGGTGTCTCTCAACCCGCAGGGCTGGGAGATTTAGAAGGGAGGGGGTGAGGGGACCAGAGGATCAGGCCCCGGAGGAGAGGGGAAGGGCAGAGGGAAGGTCTAAAAGGAGCTGGGGAAGGGCCTTGGGGGTAATCTCCTGGGGAGGAGTATAGGGAAGCCCACCCATCCCCCTGGGGCCACGCCCACCGAACGTCCTCCAGTTCGTAGAAGACGTTGCGCGCCTCGTCTTTGATGAGGATGGCGGTGTTTGGCGACTTGAGCATGCCCATGGTGAGCTTCTGCGGGAACATGTGCGCGATGAGTGCATGCAGCGTATCCAGGCTGCTGACCTCGTGCGTGATGTGCACGCGCCGTGTCTCCTCCCCAAACTGCAGGAACAGCACCCCTGCGAAGGAGATGCCACCTTCGTTGTTATTGCCCCCGCTGCCAGACCAACCGCCCGGAGAGCAAGGGGAGCCTTCGGGAGCTGAGCCGGTCCCACAGAGGCAGGGTCTGAGGCTGGATGCGGCCCCTGAGTGCAGGTGCACCCAGGCACTCCTCATGCTGCCAGGGCTGGCCTCCCGGAGCACCACGATCCCAGGCAGCTGGACCGGGAAACGGGGGTTGCGGGCAGGAGAAGGTAGGGCAAAAACTGGGAAGGGGTTAGGGAAGGGTAGAGAGGTGCTGAAGGAGAGAGAGRGGGGGRGAAGAGAGGTAAAAAGGGAGGGATGAAGGAAAGAGGGACTGCTCTATAAGAGAAAGGGCTAAGAAGCCCAGTAGGAAAAGAGAGGGTTGAGGTAGAGAGGAGGGAGGGCGGGAGAGGAGAGAAGGGAAGGAAGGGGCAGGGGATGATGAGGCAGAAGGAGGGGTGGAGAAAGAGAGCAGAGGGGCCCTGACAGGGGTGGTCGCTGGGAAAGAGGGATTTGAGCTCAGGAGGGATGTAGTGGTGCAGGGGATGAGGAGGGCTGGAGGAGACGAGCAGAGGGAGGAGCCTGCCTGTCCGTACCTGGAGATCGCAGTTTGGTCTGACTGGCTGAGCGAGAGAGGGGCAGGCTCTGTCGGAAGCGGTTCATCCTGCTAAAGCCCAGGGGCAGCTCAGCCTCCGACATGGTCTCCAGCGACTCAGCTGAGGCGTAGGACAGCTTGGCTGCCTGGTCTGCCAGCCCSGGCTGGGCTCCCTGAGTGTGACGCGAGCTGCGGGTCTGCAGGGACAGGGCAGGGCAAGAAGAATCAAGCATGATCCCCCGTTGCTTTGCCACTGCCTCAGTCCAGGCCCAGGGAGCTCCCACCAGCCAGACAGCGACACGTACACAATCACAGGAGGGTCTCCTGGATTCCAGACCCATTGTATGRCTGCAGGAAGGTCCCCCCACCTCTTGGGGCCTTGACCTCCCTGGGCCACCCAACAGGTAAGCAGTGGGCAAAGGACTCAGGCAACTTGGGAAGTCAGACAAGAAGCCATCTGAGCTGGAGCCACRGGCACGCCTGCTATTTTAAGCTTCCAAAGAACAACAACAACACAAATTTGTCACCGAGGTGAGCAGCAGAATCGTTGAGCAAATTGGGGCATTAGTTCCAGACATTAATTAAGCGGCGGGTTTGTGAGCGGCGAATTTATTCTTCCTGGTGTTCAGAGAGTTGGGGGTGGTGGTGACGGGAAGTAGGGCCCAGGGAGAAAGTAACAGCAAGGGACCCAGTATTGGGAGGTCTGGGCTCTCACAGAGCTGGGCATGGAGAATGTCCTTGATTTAAGGTGACAAGAAAACTATTCCAAACCCCTCAGTGCCAGTTAGAACCCAGATTCAAACAAACTACATGCTTAGTACCCACTACACATGTGAAGTCCAGTGTGGTACACGTGACCACAGGGTGTGTGTGCCAAGCCTSGGCCCCTCTCTGTGAGGTACAAGCTGCCATGTGGCCAGACAGCCTGGCTGGCCTTGTCCCAGTCCCCAGAATGACAGTCCCTTCCCTGAAGCTATAGTTCTGGATAATGGCTGGGGGTAGGGAAGGACGTCACAGACAGCTGGATTGCTCTCTCCTTGGGGGTGGGGGTGTCACACTATGATTTCAATTGTACTTGAAGAGCTTACTATTAGCTGAAGCCTGGGGTTGTCATCCAGGGCCACCACCCCTGCCATTCTGCCCCAATTCTTCCCCTCAAACCAGGTTGCTGTACAAAAGCTCATTTATTTAAGGAAGTAAGAAAATTAATCAGATCTAGATCATTCCATGTTATGTACATTATTACGTATATATTATGTATGCATTTGTTGTATAAAAGTCATGTTCTCTGATTGTATTTTTCTATAAAATAAATTGATATTTTTAACAATAGATCACTCAAAATCAGTAATACAGGCTATCTCAGTGTTGAAAGAGAACTATTATTTTTAGTTTTATACACACTTCTTTAAAATTAAGTGAATTTTGTACAATCAGAATATCTTACTTTTATATTTTAAAGAGACAACAATAATAGTATCTCTGAAAAGAAATAATTTATTCCCCACGTCAGCTCCCTCTTTCCCAAAATTCTGATTAACCCCTAATTAATTTCCATCTTTCTATTAACTCAATTTAATGTTCTAATCAGATTAGCACTCTTGATGAGAGAGCAGCTTCCTCTGATGGGCAACGTGCCCAGCTGTCCCCAAGGTGCCCTTAAGGGCTAGGGGACTTGGGAGGTCAGATTTGGGAACTTTGAGGGGCAAGCACAATGTCTCGAGCAGTGTGCAGACATAGGTCTTGAAAGTGGGGAAGCAGCACAAGGACTGGGCCCACTTGGGGGGATCCTGTGTGCAGGCTTTAAACCCTGTGGCTCAGCTCTGGGTTGACAGCGACAACCAGCACCTGGTTCTCACCTTCAGCTCCTGGGAAGGATGGGAGCTCTGGAGTAGGGTGAGGAGTAGGGCTGGGCTGGCAGTCTTGGGGTTGCCAGGCTTGTGAGGGTGAAGGGGTCACCAATGCAGACAGAATGAGGCAACTGGTAAACATAAAAGTRGGGGGTCCACAGGGCTATGGTGGGGGACACAAGTGAGATGCCAGAAAGAGAATGGAACGGGGCAGCATGGAGGGGGCAGCATTCCTGGGGGTGGCTGAATACAGAACAGGAACCCTAGGAGAAAAAAATTGCCACATTCCTTGTTTCACATGTTCCTGTCTCTGTTGTGACCCCAGGAAYGCCTTTCCATTCTCACAGACTTTATAGATAACCCTGCCCCAAAGAGGGAAAGCCCATCACACTTTTCTTCATCCCTGAGCTGAGACAACAGAGCAGAGGAAAGTGAGACATCTAGAAGGACTTTCCAACCACTAAGGAGATGGCAAGAGGACAAAATAGTGACTGCAGCAGAGCTCTCCAAAGACGGGAAAGGGGTTGCTGTGGAAGGCAGTGAGCACTGTCCCTGGAGCACCTTCGGGGAAGATCATGACTTCTGGTCAGAGGCCAGGCAGAGGGCATCAGGGGTCGGGTGGTCAAAGCAGGATCGGAGCTTCCCCAAGGCTGCCTACAGCCTGGGGCAGAAACACTGGGAAGCATTTACAAACCTCTTTCTTGGACCCCACAATCAGATTTTGGAATCAACCAGGATTTTGACAGCCTTTGAGGTTGGCCACCATATAAATCTTGCTGTGAGCCAGACACTGCCTAGACTGGCATTTTCTTATTATATCTTTATAACAATTTAATGATGCAGACATCCTTCCGCTTTACAAAGGAGAAACTAAGGCCCAGAAGACTGGAATGTACATTGCTCTGGGTCACTAAGCTAGTTAGTGGCAGACTGGAATTCACTACCAAGTAATCTGGCYCTCAGGCTCATGCATCTAACCACTACACTCTCGTGCCTCCTTCAAAGAGGCTATGCTTAACACCAGGATACTAAGATCCMGGGACTCTCTGATTCAAGGACTCCTGGCAGTGCTCTGGGAGAATGCATGCAAACAAGACCCCTGGGATTCGGGATGGTGGCCTCCCATCCCATCATGATGCCTGAGAGAGGGCCTGAGACTCCAGCAAGCAGGCAGTTGTCTAACTGGTTCTGGGCCTGGGCGCTCGGCTCTGGGCCTGGGCACCAGGGAAGATGGATGAGGGTGCTCCCATAGGGGTCAGCAGGATGTCCTGGGGAGGGTAGACAGCTCCCTAGCTTTGGGTAACTCCAAGCTCTCTAAGTGGAGGCCCTCCACTTAGAAAACAGGTTTTAGGGGTACAGGACAGTGTCTTGCTTGACAGTCACTAGCTCCTTCACAGGGGGGAGTAAGAAAGGGAGTCACACGACCTCCCCGGGAGGTGCAATCTGAGTTTGAGGAACGAACCCACCCTCAACAAGATCATGGGTTCAGGGCTCGACTCAGAGCCAGCAGATTCTCTGGGCTGGGGAGACCTTCTCATTCCAAGATGCCCCTTGTGGACTGGGGAAGTCTAGGGACAGAGCACCTCCAAGCCCAGATCTCCAGCAGAGGTGGCCCAAACTCCCAATCAATCCACAAGCCCCTGGCAGGTGAACCCAGACTTTCCCAAAGCAGCAGCCACAGCCTGCAGCCCCAAAGCCCACGCACCCACACCAGAGGGGGCCCTGCAGACTCACACCCAGGTGCAAAGCATGTGCGAGGGAGGGACGGGGCAGGGGAGAGACAGCACATGCAGTTGTCATGGGAGCGGAAGCATCACACACTGACCTTGAAACTCCAGTAGTTTGGCTGCTGATGGAAATAAGAGAAGAGATGGTTATGAGGGGGCAGGGAGGAAAAGGGCAGCAGGGGGCAGGTAGAGACCCTTGGAGCTCAACACTCAGCCCTGGGACATGGGCCCTCCACCCCCTCAGGAGCAGGAAGGAAGTAATGCCCATTACATCCCATTCTCTTCTGAGACCTGAACACCTTGGTGCACCCAGGATGCGAAGGCTTCAGGTTTGCTGGTGGAGGCAGGAGAGAGCATTCCAGATATTTACTAGGCACAACTCTAAAGTAACAGCCCTCAGAAAGATACATGTAGGAAAAGGCACAGATGATCATGATATAGGGACCCAGGAGAGAATTTAAAAAGATAAATCTGGGCCATAGGGTCAGAGAGATGGCACCGGGATGGGTTGTAGCAGGCCAGGGAAATTTTCCCAGAAAAGATGGGCATTTGAGCTGGGTCTTGAAAAATGAGCAGCTGGAGATTGGAAGGAAAGGTGTGTTGGGTGGAGAAGAGCATGGGCGGGCGCCAGGAGCAGGCAAGGAAGAGTGTGGGAGAAGAGTCCACAGTCCAGGCTGCTGGGGCCGCAGATTGGGCTGCAAAGGGGGCTGAGGCCAGACACCAAGTGACCTTCAATGCTGAATATGTAGACTCAAGTCTCAGGGGTGGGAGGGGGCAAGCAAAAGGCACATTAATGGAGCAGAGCAGGATCAGAATTGGACCCCAGCAGGGCACAGAGCTGAGGGTGGAAGAGGGCAGCTGGGTCCCAGGACAGGGCAGGGAGGCCTGTGTGACAGGATGGGCCTTGACCATGGAGGACAGTGGACAGATGCCAGTGACTCCTAGCACTGGGCAATGAATAGGGAGCTGGGGAGGCTGGGGACTGGGCAATACCCTGGGGCTGGGTAGATAGAGGGTTCCTCACATCCCTAGAATGGGGGGATTAAGTCTCCCCTCATTCACAGCAACTCGGGTCACCCTGCCTTCCCTAGAGACCAGAAGGCCCTTCCAGATGGCTGGGAACAAGGAAAGAGCCACCCTGAGGCCGGGCTGGTTCTTGGCAAAGCTGAGGGCACCCTGCTGACCGGTGCCAGCCTCAGCAGGAAGACAGAGGCAGCAGATGGCCTGGCCCTGGGGTGCCTGGCACAAACAGGCAAGAGTCCCCGGCCTCAGAGCCATGGCAGAGAAAAGGGGCATTGGGGCTTCCTGATGGGGAAGGACACCAGGCTTGAGTATCCTGTACCACCCAAAGGCCGTCATGGCTGGGAGGAGTTGGAAAGGGGCTGAGTGGAAGGGTGCCCTGCCTGACGGGCTTTACTGAGGCAGCCCTTTACGGTGGGGACGAGGCTAGCAGGGACTGGGATGAAGAGGTTCATTTGCCAGGACTGTCCCCACCAGATCCCTGATGGCCATCTCTCCCTGTAACACTGGCTCCAAAAGATGAAAAACTAGTCACATACCAGGCAGAAGAAGGCAAAGTCTGTACCCCAGCCAACGCCTGGACACGCCCCCCCCCCGCCC